ATTGGTTAGCAACCCTCTTGGTAGCTATGTCGCTACCAGCCACCAGGGACTCCAGGGCACCTGTGCCCTGGCCTATCAGCCACGAAGGTTCCTCACGACCATTTATGAACAGCTCTGGGCAGGCTGCCCTGCTCTCTGCAAGTCCTCCCAAGGCACCCTTTACAGATCACAGAGCACATCTGCCTCCCTGATAGCACCACATGCTAGGTGTGATAGGCAGAGCAGAGACTGTGTCTGCTCCTTGTGACTTACAGAGTAACAAGTATCCCACATAAGGCAGCCACGCACGTGCAGGACTGCCAGCCAACCATGGGTAAGCTGGAGCTCCCACCCAAATGGTCTCCTTACCAGTGTCATTCCACCCTCCCCACCTGCTGGCACTCTGGTCCTGGAAAAGCATTGGGTGAGGAGCTGGCATCCAAGGCCTGTCCCCGAGACTGGCAGATCTTAGGCACAGGCATTTTGTCACTATCCCCAGGCAGAGGCTTAAAGGTCTGACATGCGTGCCTAGTCCAGCATAGGGCGGAAGTCACTAGGTGTCCCAAGGGTATCCCTGCCCGGGTCATGGGGCCCAGGCCAATGCCAGACATACAGCCCTAGAGACTTAAGGACAGGAAATGAGGAGGAGGAGGAGCCAGAAAGGGAGGAAGGGCAGGAATGCTATCCAGCCAGGCCCTGTGTTGGAACAAACAGTGCCCGAGTGCTAATGACTTCTTGTTATTTAAGTCAAAATGCCCAAGTCACCCTAGTTCCTGCCCCAGCTCCCTTTGGTGCCCACGGTCCCGGCTGTAGTGTGAGCTCTGTTATAATCGTTAGATTTATTTGTGTGTGTGAGTGTGCACATGTGTGTGTGTTTGCATGTTTGCACATGTGTGCATGTTCATAGAAAATAGAAGAGGGTGTCAGATGCCCTGTAACTGAAGTTACAAGTCGTTGTCGTGAGCTGCTGGACAGGGTTGCTAGGGGACGAATTCAGGGCCTCTGCAAAATCAGCAAATGCTGCCATCCACAAAGCCATCTCTTTGGTCTCTGGCTTCTGTAGTTTTGTTTTTTAGAGGCAAGGTCGCTTGCAGCCCAGGCTGAAGTCACTAAGCAGCTGAGGTTGACCTTGAACTTTTGATCATCTTGCCTCATGTCCTCAGTGCTGGGATAACAAGAACTGCCACTGCTCAGGGTTCCTGGCATGCTAAGCCAGCACTCTACCCACTAAGCTGTATCCCCAGCTCAGCCTTCCTGGAATTATCCTGACCTAGGAGGCCATATGACCACGCGGGTCACTTCCTGCCCTGCCCCAAGGGATGGGCATGGGAGTCTGAGACTGGTAGCTTAAGAAAGCAGCCATAAGGCACTTGTTTGAAAGCTGAAGCCCTGAAGAGTTAAAGTCACTGCCTAGGGTCACATAGTTGCTCCAAAAGGGAAGAGTCTAAGTGTCGCCTCCATGCGAAGCAGGTGTGTGTACTGTTTCACAGCCAGAGAAAGGTTACACAGCACACCCTAACAGGTGGCAAACAGCATTCGCACCAGAGCCTGCCTCACTCCACAGCCCACACTGCCAGCAGCAGCCCCACCATCTCTCCTGAGCTCAACCCCTGCACTTCCTCGGGGCAGCTCACAGCCACAGAAGCAGCAGAGGCATTCTGCCTTCAGGAACGTTCTATAGGCAGAGTAAGGAACATGCGTGTTGCCACAGGCCTTCCGTGCCCCTGCAAAGCTCCTGTGGATGGAGACCTTGGTTGGGGACAGGCTCCGAGAGGATGTTTAATGGGCAGCAGTGGCCTCCGGAGCCAGATGCCTGGGTTCAAATGCTGCTTTCGGGTTGGCAGCCAGGGTGTGTGATCTTAGGCTGCGTAAGCTCTCTGTGGACCAGCTTCTCCTGTCCTGGTCTCTGATGAACTCTGCTTCAGAAGATTAACCCACCTTCCCCTGGGCTTTCTAAAGAGATGGGTGTAGCCTGAACAACCCAGCCCTGTCTTCCTGGGCTCCGGGCCCACCTTCTTCACCCTGTACATACGCACACCCTGCTTGGACTTGTTCCCTCTAGGGAACACTTCATGAGCCAAAAGAGCCCGAAGAGAGTCAAGAGGTGCAGCCTCGAAGGGAGTCAGAGAGCTCCTAAACACAGGCATGATAGATGAGCCTACCTCGCTCTGCCCCTCAAGGATGAGCATGGTAGAGAATTGGGGGACAGTGGTCTCTGGTCCTAAAAACCTCAGCACTTTAGTCGTCAGCCCCCCTCCACTGCCTCCATACATGACAGAGGCGGGCCTTGTTTCTGGACCTTTGACCCCATTTGTAGTCCAGTAGCCCCCACTTTTATGTTTCCAGTCTCCCAAGCAAGCTGGTCCTTCCTCTGTAGGAGCTAGGAGACTGGCGGGCGGCTTCCTCCACCTTCTCCCTGATTTTGGATCCCAAGAGATTCCCCAGTGACCTCATCGTCCTGGTAACTGACCTTCTCCCATCTCCTACCTAGCTTCTCCAAGCTGGGAAGGGGACAGGAAATACACAAATAGTTGTAGCCTGAAGGGGAAGGCCGGGAGGGAGGGTTCCAGAGGCTAGATCGCAGCAGGAACTACTGCAGTGACCCAGAGCCTAGGGGTGAGGGGTAGAACCAGCCCCACCCCATTAGAAAGACCCAGGGAGAGGAGGACAAGAAGGAACTCAACCCCAGTGCAGAAGGTCTCCTCCCCTGGGGCTTTCTCAACCCAGCCCCCCTTTACTAGAAATGGAAATAGTGTTTGGACAAAGTAGGAAAAGGAGACAATGGTGATTGTTTTATTCAGAGAGACTTGGTGAGACACGATCCTTTCCAAGTTTGTCATCCACTCCTGCCTTCTCTCCACCCTCCACTCAGTACCCTCTGCGCGCGCGCGCACACACACGTGCACACACACACGCACGCACACACACACACACACACACACACACACACACACACGGGTATACACAGCATACAGACAGGCCCGTCAAACCTGGTGGTTGGGAAGAGAGAAGAGTATCCCTGTATCCCTGGGTGCTGGCTCCCATCTGGCCCCCTCCCCCAGCCCCTGTCCTTCCCACTCCTTTCCTTTAGCAGTCCTCTCCACTCTGAAACCTCTTCTGTACCCCATGGCCAGGTGCCAAGCTTTATCCACACAAATGCCTCACCCCAGGAGGGGAAAAAGAAAAACACACACACACACACACACACAAAAAAAAAAACCAGAATCAGCCTGGTTCAATTGTTCACTAAAGGAGACCGTTGCCACGGTGACGTGTCAAGAACAGTAACCAAGCTAATTTCACCCCCACTTGACCTGGCCCCACATCTCCCACTGCCACACAGAGAGAACTCTCAACACATAAGTCAATGCCTGCCACATGGAGGTGATGGGTAAACGATAAAGCCTCGGGGGGGGGGGCAGCCCAGCACACCACGCACGCCAGGCACGCTACACACAGACACAGGCTCCAGTTATGCCATCAGCCACAAGCTGTCTAGCTACCCAATTTTACTCTGCACCCCTGGAGCAAGCTTGCTGGCCCACCAGCACAGCAGTCCGGACTCTTCCAGCCCTGGTCCAGCCTGGCAGATGGAGGGTACTCACCCAACGAAGTCCCTGGATGCAGCTGGGCCGCCTGTGCTCGAACACCAGCTGGTAAGAGCAGCACCGGGGACGGTGCATTCTCTTCAGCACCATGTTGAGCAGCGTGTCCTCCGGAACCACGTCGGGAAGACTTTCCACCTGTGGTGCTTCCACAGCTGGACTCTCCACCACAGCTGGACCCACCTGCCAGTGGTTGTCACCTGGCCAGCTGACCTGTGAGGACAGCCATCGGCTGGAGGAGCTGAACCTCCACACAACTACCCCAGGCTTAAGCGTCCTCTGGACTTGGACTGGTCAGGCGGAGGTGCGGCAAGCCTGCCAGGAGCCGGGGGAGGGACAGGAAGACCTGCCCCGGGTCCTGCTGGCTTGGTGCACCTAGGGGTCTCGCAGCTGGCTCGCAAAGATGGGGCCCTTCTCAGTCCCCGCTGGAATTCTGCCCTGCCTCACTGCCCATGTCCGGCAAGGCATGCCCACCTCTCCCGGCTTGAGGCTGTACACACACTAGATCCCCAGAAGCAGCTTTGCTTCAAACTCTCCTCCCCACCACCCTCTCCCACCCAAACTCCCCCACGTGTCGGCTTCCTCTCCCGCCCTTTCCAGAAGCTTTCCTTGGCCCTGACCCTGGCTCCACCTTACCTACCTTCATGTTTCTTCTCCAGCTCACACAGCGGTGCACGCTCTAGCAAGAGGCTGGAAGATCCCTGGCGCTCTCCAGGGCAGCTCCGCCCGGGGAATCCTGGGGGGGTGTCGGTGCGAGAGACGCCCGGCCCCGGGCGGCAGCGAAGGGCCAGTTCCCAGCAGGGCAGGTTGTCTGGAGTAGCAAAATGCAGGGCTTAGCAGGCAGAGGGGCTTGTCCTGGGTTCGTAGAGGGCTGGGGGGCGTGGGGGAGCCCCCACCCCTCCCCAAAGACTAAGAACTCCGAGCCTCCGCCTCCGTCCCAGATGTAAGCGCCAGCTGGCACAGGGCGTTCAAGAGGAGCTGCAGCTGGCACTGATCCGGGCAGGAGCTGTCACACCCCCTGCGCTGCCCGCCCCTTCCCCTCCCCGGGACAGGCCGAGGGGGCGGGGAACAGGCACCGGCTTTACCGTAGGGGTGGACAGAGGGGAAGGGGCAGGACCCACAGCTGATGGAGTCCCTGCCTGGGACTACGTCAGTGGGTTCAGGCTCCGGACCCGAAGCCCCAGCGGGTAATGCCTTAGGGTATATGCCCCAGTCTCAGTCCGGGTGCCGGGTTAGGGGCCGCGAAGGCTGCCCCCGCCGCCACGTGGCCAGGAGGAGAAATGCAAACAAGGAAACTAGGGAAGGGGGAGGGAGTGAGTCATGGCGGCCCCACCCGAGAGGGAAATCCGGGCTGGGGCTGCTTCCTGACCAGGGGCGTCCGGTCTCCCGTTTGGGTTCAGGGTCTCCCGCAACCCGGGGTTGGAACTGGGCAGTCTTCCCGTGGGGAATCCCGCTGCCTGGCTTCCCACCTTTGCCCTCCCAATCGCGAGGGTTGGGGAGTTGAGGCTGGAGGGGGGAGGGAACGCATTCCAGATGGAGAGAGGAACGGGTGGATGCATAGGTCGCGCCAGGGCTTGGATCTGTGGAGTTCCGAAGACAGGCTGGACTTCAGAGGGCCACGCCTCTCAAGTGTCCCCCACCCTCTCCCCCGCCCCGCTCCCCTATGTCGGGCTAGGTAAAGGCACAGCCCCCCCCACACACACACACCCCACACACCTCCCTGTGCCTCATTTCCATCACCACACAGATGGCCGGCACTTCGTCTCGCTCACGCCTGCTTCCGAGTGGACAGAGACTGTGACCTAGGACGGCGATTTCCGCGGCGCCCGGTAATTGCTCAGGACATTAATGAGGGTTTAGAAGAAGGTACAGGTCCTGCCCCCAGCGTTCTAGGTCGCTCGCCTTAGCCCTTCTCTTCTCTTTTCCCACTGCCATTAAACCATTTCCATCCAGAACTGGTTTCGTGATGCGAGAATTTTAATCGTCATCAGAAATCTTTTAATGCTTGTGTGTCTCAATAGTTTTTCTCTCCCAGGGGCATATGAGCATGAACGTTCTAACTCCTCAAATTCTGATTCCATCTCGCGAGCATGAAATAGAAAATTTGTACCTTGAACGAGCATCCCAGCTCATCGGCGGTGCCCACCCTTTGAGACACACTAAAGAAGACTTCACTGCTCCTCTGAGCAGAGAAGGGAACCTGGGGAAAGGAGTCCGCCCACAACTCAAGTTCCTAGAACTGGGAGAATGGCTTGGAAACTTGGTCTAAAAGACAGGAAATAAGTAGTCTCAGGTGTGTTTGGGGAAGAGAGTTGGGGTTGGGGGTGCAGTGGTGACACTCAGGATGCCGGATCTGGCCTAGAAGGTCTTGGGAAAGAGTTCCCTGAAACTGACTATGGAGTAAGACATTCCCTGTTTCCCATTCCTGCTGCCCCACTTAGGGCAGGAGGCAGGAGGGAGAGATGAGGTAGGACACCTGCCTGATCAAACCATGGGCCTGGCCCTGTTTCCTATCCAGGTTGTCTGACTCTGCTTCACTCCCAGGAAGTCCTGCACATGCTCTCTCAGCCTATCATCAGTCTCTACACCGTAACGCCTAGAGAAGGCACTAAGATACAAGGAGGGACAGTGTGTGTGGCAGCCAAGGTCAGGCAGGGCATGACAGTTAATTCATTTTCTATCTGACAGGATTTAGAAGCACCTAAGGGACAAACCCCTGGGCCCCTTTGAAGGTATTTTTAGAGATAAGACCCACCTTGAATGAGGGCAGCTCGGTCCCCAAAGACCAGTGTCCCTCAGAGAATGAAAAGTTGAAGTGACCTGAGCACCACATTGGCTCTTCCTGACTGCCGGTAGAGTGTGACTGCCTGCCACCATGCCTCCTCTTTGATGGCCTGTGTCTTCAAACTGTGACTCAAACCCTTTCTTTCGTAGCTTTTGTTTGTCATGGCCGTGAGAAAACACCTGAAGAAAGTCATTCAGATGGGCAGCAGCGACTGTCCCACACTTATTGGCCCATCTTTCCCTCATTCTTTCTGACCTAGGAGGCCACGATGCTGGGTTTTTTGATTACCTAGCCACTGATGGCCTGAGCCACCAAAAGGGTTAGATGTCCCTTCTGAGCAGGAGTCAGATTTCCTGCCACCTGCCAGTACAGTGGGTCCTCTCCGAACTGATAGATGGGACCTGGCCAATGCAATTACTGCCCATTGGAGGGTCCATTGAGGCTGAGGTCAAGGGACGGGGAAGGGTGTCTGAAGAAGACATCCAGGCCAGGTGGTTCATCTTGGAGGTGATCATGCCATGTCCTGTTGCAGCATCCAGCCTCCCGAACCGTCCTTACATGCCTGGTGGGTGTCCTCGACAGAGAAATAATAGTTATAGTTAGCCTGCACTAGCCCTGTTCTCAATACTTCATATACATTCACTTAACTGTCACACCAACCCTATGAAATAGCATTTACATTATCCCATTTTTCAGGTGAGGAAGCTGCAAGATGTTAAATAATGTGGTCAAGGTCTTCCAACTAGAGAGTACTAGAGCACTGAGTGGTTCTACCCAAAGGGTCATTGGATCTGTGCAGTCCTACTTTAGAAATACTGGGAAAGTCCTACAAAGACAAACACCATCAGGAGCCGTCTCCCCAGCCTGGGCATTCTGGCTCTGGTGGTCAGAGAGGACCAGACAGGTGCTGTGAGAGGCGCATCAAGTTCATTTGATACAGGCTGTCCCTTCAGTGAGCTTCTGCCGGAACACAGGTCCCCTAGCACCCTCTGTGTCTCTCAGGTAAATGGTGGCCCTCCTGGGGATTTGGCATGGAGGTAGGATAGCTGGAGGGTGGCGGGAGGCTCTGAGAACCAGGCTTTGACTCTGGACCATGCATGTCTCTTCCAACTGGGCCTCTTGGCTGACTTTGCACACACTGAGCCCGCAGCTTCCTGGATCTCGTCTGGAGCCTTAACACTCCACGTGTCCAACACTCCCTTCCTGCCCCAGGGGGCTCCTCCTCCTGCTTTGCCTCTCAGCTCCTGGAGCCCTGCCACTGTCTAAGCAAGAAACCTGTAAGGCGGCTCCCTTCTCCTACAGCCGACCAGGCACCTGGGTGGTTGGTTCAACCACTGCAGCTGCTACAGCCAGGGGTGGTCTTGTAGCAGGTACTGTGGGCAGCCCACTCATCGTAGTGTTAGCTCTCTTGTAAACACCACTTTCTTCTCCTTACAGCTTTTATTTGCAAGTGGGGGAGCACAGAGAGGTGAAGTAATCTGTCCAAGGTCACACTGATAGCAAATCGTAGAGCCACGCCTGGGCACGAAATGACAGTCCACGTACCTATCTACTACTTCAGCCACCTCTCTGGTCCCTGATTGCTACCTCCACCTCGCCTCCCTTCATCCTTTCAGTGTATCCCCTCAGCATCATTAATAAAACTCTTGACTTCATTTGACATTTACTGCAGTTGCCAGGATCTGTGCGGTAAAACCGGGTAGCAGATGCCACCCCCAAATTCTGGAAACAGGCTGGTGGGGTAGTTCAGGTGACAGAGTGCTTGCCCAGCATGCACAGAGCTCTGGAATCCATCACCAGCACCAAATAAATGAGTTGTGGTACATGCCTATAATCCCAGCACTGGAGAGGGGGAGGCAAGAGAATATGGGGTCCGAAGTTGTCATCAGTTATATAGCAAATTTAAGGCTGGCCTGGACTACAAAAGACCCTGCCTCAGAGAGAGAGAGAGAGAGAGAGACAGACAGACAGACAGACAGACAGAGACAGGGAGACAGGGAGACAGGGAGACAGAGACAGAGACAGAGAACCAACCAAGGCTTTGGGAACATAAAGTCCAGTGGGGTTATCTCCTCACACACTAATCTGATCAGTCTTCCTCACCAGCATAGTATCTGGAGTAATAGATGCTTAGATTAGGGATGGAGATGAAGTCAAGGGGAACCCTGGAAATCAGATGCTGCCTGCTGTGGGCCGCACTTTGCAGATGTGGGCCTTTGAGAAGGGCTGTTCTATTGGTTTATTTTCGAGGTGTTTCTTTCCCCACGCTTCCTTATTCCCCCCTCTCTTGTCCTGTGCTGCTGACGTCACTCATTCCCCCTCTCTTGTCCTGTGCTACTCCCAAGATTTAGCCTCATCATTTGAGGATGGAGGGTTTGTTAATGTTTGGCCTTCAATGAGACGCAGCTGGAACACTTGATCTTAAATAATGCACTAGAGGAGCTAAGGTCCGATGCCAACCCTCTCCCAGGGTCCCTGGACTTCTACCTCGGCCATTGCTAAGCAATCATGGGGTGAGACAAGCACCCAGGCCCCCCTTATCTGTACTCTGCCTCCTGGGTCTGTAAAGTCCTCTAAATCTTTTCCTGGGCTCCTTCTCCCAGCAGTGGTTCCAGTTCAGTTACTCATCTCTCCTGCCCATTCCTGGGGTGGGGGCAGAGGAGGCAGGGAGCTGGAATGTTGATGGGCATGAAGCCAAACCTTCCTAGGACTAACAGGTCAGAACCAGTCACTCATGAGCCACATCACAGGAATATGAACAGAAGAGAGCTGGTCCCTGCCTTCCCTAAGTTGGGGAAATGGGCGAGCAGGGTTTACAGGCAGGTCTGGGGACTGGCAAGGAGCTTGCTGGGGCATGATGGGGGACATGCTTCTGGTGCTCAAGATCCTGGTGGATGACAGAGGGGCAAGAGAACAATCACTGAAAAAGACCCGAGATGATGACCAAAGGTGGAGAAGCTGGTGGGAGAAGACGGGCTCACAGAAGGCACACGGCTGAGTCTAGAGATGATGACCAAAGGTGGAGAAGCTGGTGGGAGAAGACGGGCTCATAGAAGGCACACGGCTGAGTCTAGAGGTGCCTGTGGCAGAGAACAGACTAGTCATTCAGAAAGCTTGTGCTACATGGACATGCAGAAGACAGCCACCACTTCTTATTCCTGTCTTCTGCTTCTCACAGAGGAGGGAGAAGGAGAAAGGGACACACACATACACACGCATGCACGCACGCACATGCACATGGACACGTGCACACAAAAGAAATGCTCTGGGGACATTGTGTCTGACCTTGAATGGTCAGTGCTCAGAAATGGCTACTCCAGTTGTGACCACCTTCCCTCAAGCTCAGTTTCCCCTCCTTCCAGTACCTTATACCTTCCTCAGCTATCACCATTCCTATTCTCCCCACAGCTGACCGCCTGGCCACCTGCAGACCACCATCTCCTCCCAGGGTCGCTCTTCCAGTGCTTGCAAACTTTCTTAACCTGCAGTCCAACTGTTCCCGTCCTCACCTATGCGGAGCCCTTGGACTCCGTCCAGCCCTCCTTGCTGCCTGCTTTGGGATGCTGGCAGAGTGGTGGTTGCAAGAGCGCGGGAGAGAAGTCCTGTTAGGTAAGGCCTCGTGACATATCCAGTCCTTTGTCACACATCTGCCTGCTTGGTTGCTCCAGTTGTCCCCAGAGTATTAGCTAGGGTGGGGGAGGGAGGCACAGGAGACTGAGTACAGCTTGGCATTCAAGCCAGGAATAGAATCTCTTTCCAGCATCAGACCTGCCCCGATCCTGCCCCCAAATCCTGCTCAGGAAATGCTGGGGCCAGAGAGGAAGTTGCACAGTCCAAGACTTCCTGGCACCAGATCTACTGCCCATTTCCTCCCTTCAGAGGGGCCCTGACCAGAGACCAGGGGAGGTGCAAAGATGGGAGCCAGAGAAGGAAGCAGAGAGCCAAAGGGACATCTGTAAATCCAACTGAGGGACCTCCCCGGACCGCTCTGCCTGGGACGGACAGCAGCCTCAGCTAATCAGACTTCCCACATTAGGAATATAGGGGGCACTTCCGGCTCCCCCAGCCTCCTCTTCCTCCAGGTTCTTTACCTTCAGGGTAGGGCAGGCCAGCCATATATGTTCCATGTAGACGCATTGCAGGAGTGGCAGAATTCTGGCCTGATCTCCTGGATTGCCCAGACTCTTCGAGCCCTCATGGAAGTGCCCTCCCAAATGGGCCTGGGAGCCATTACAAAACACAGGCACTGGCCAGTTGTTCCCTGCAGGTGTCCTACCTACATCTGACTCTGTACCGACTGGTTTTGTGTGTCAACTTGACACAAGTCGGAGTCATCAGAGAAGAAGGAGCCTCGGCTGAGGAAATGCCTCCTTGAGATCCAGCTGTAAGGCATTTTCTCAGTGATCAATGGGGAAGGGTGCAGCCCATGCTGGGTGGTGCCACCCCTGGACTGGTATTCTAGAATGCAGGCTGAGGAAGCCAGGGGAAGTAAGCCAGTAAGCAGCTCCTTTCCATGGCCTCTGCATCAGCTCCTGCCTCCAGGATCCTGCCCTGTTTGAGTTCCTGTCCTGACTTCCTTCAGTGATGAACAATTTAGAAGTGTAAGCCAAATAAACCCTTTCCTCCCCAATTTGCTTTTGGTCATGGTGTTTCGCCGCAGGAACAGAAACCCCAACTAAGACAGGCTTTCCCTGGAACTCCATATTCCCACTCACCATGCTACACACTATTCCCAGAATCCTCTGGGGGGAGAAATCAGTGGTCACTGAGCAGGAAATGGCTTATGGGATCCCTGTAAAACCTCTTACACTCTCCCGCTACGCTGGGCTCTGTGTCATTCTGTGTGTTGGGAGTGGCCTGAGGTGAGAGGTCTCAGTGGGGTTCCCTTTTTCCTTCCACTGGTCCTTTCCGCCCCTCTCGCGGCTCCCCCCGGGGGGGGGTCTATCTTCGCGCCCTCCCACCCGGCTCACGGGCTAGCAGTACTTCCACCGCCTCCTCCCAATGCCAGCATGTCCTTTTCTCCTCCAGAAAGGGTCGGCAAGCATGGCCGCTTAGACCTCCCCCAGGTTGCCAGGCTTGGGTCCCTTCTCTGGAAGAAGCAAGAGATCAACCAGTTTCTAGTCCTTTGCTCACAGCTGCCCTTGGGACAGGAGAAGGCCTCCAGGTGACGAAGCCTTCGTGTGATGAACCCATCCCTGATTCCCTTCGTGTGATGAACCAATCCCCGATTCCCTTCGTGTGATGAACCCATGCCCCATTCCCGTCTCAGTGTGAGTCTTCGCCATTCCTTGTGCCAGGCTTTCGTGGCTGCTCTTCCACTCCATAGCCCTTCACAGCCGAGGCCCGGCTCTTCCTCCACCCGCTTCAGCCTCCTGGGACTCGCCCAAGTGAATCAGCGTCGTAGGCCCCAGGCGGTAGTCCGTGCTGAGGCAAACGTGGATTTGTCCTCTGCTCCCATACATCGACACTCCCTACTCCCAAGGAGAGGGCAAGGAGACATTCAAACAGGACCTGTGGCTGGGGCCTCACGCTGCTCTTCCTGGGCTCCGCAGTGGTAGTAACATCAGCCCCTTCCTTCCTTCTAATGCCCTTTTAGATTTTGTCAAAAATGGCTGTGGCTTCTGCCTGGCATCTTTTCACTCATCATCCTGGCCTCTGAAAGAACCTCCAGGTCAGTGGTTCTCAACCTGTGAGTCGTGACCCTTTGGGGGATCAAATGACCCTTTCACAGGGATCACCTAAAGACCCTCAGAAAAACATGGATATTTATGTTATGATTCATAACAGCAGCAAAACTACAGTTACGAAGTAGCAACAAAAATAATTTTATTGTGGGGACGTCACCACAACGTGAGGAACTGTATTAAAGGGTTGTAGCATTAGGAAGGTTGGGAAGGAACCACTGCTCTCTGGTCTCTCAGGCAGGCAGAGAAGGGGGGGCTCACTGTGAAGGGAGACTTAAAGTAGTCCCCTGTTCTAGGGGCAAAGGTCACCCCAGACCTGGGGACCAGCATTTTAGGGCCAAGATACCCCGCTGAATCTGGTTCCTTCTTGGAGCCTCAAAAGTTGGGGTGCTCACAGACTGGGGCCCTCCTGGCGGTTAGCTACCAGCAGTTCCCCTTCTAGGTCGATTCTTTCTAAAGTTCTCTGGTCCTCAGACCTGAACTCAGGACAAAGATGGAGATGCAGAAGTGGAGAGAGACAGCAGTGGTTAATCCCAGAATGTGGGAGGCAGAGGAAGGCAGATCTCTGTGAGTTCGAGGCCAGCCTGGTCTATAGAGGAGAGTCCCAGAACAGTCAAGGCTACACAGAAAACCCCTGTCTCAAGCAAACAAACAAAAACAGAGGTGGAAAGACAGAGAGCTAGGTTCCTCTCCCCTGAGGCAGGCACAGCCTCGGGCTGTCAGTACCAAGGGCTTCAGTTTTGAACTCTGTCGGGAATAGGGGAGGACAGGGTGATGAGGTAAGATCTGGGCAGAAGAACCTAAGAAAACTCACAAGCTAAATTTAGGTCTCCAAGGTTTTAGTGAACCTGCATAGCTGAATACGCAGGCTCAAGGCTGGGGAAGGTTGCCCCCTAGAGCCAGGATGGAATAATTCCATATGGACTGCTAGCCTTTCTTTCTCTTAGTAATTGCTGCGTTTCTCCTGCCTGGGCCC